AAAAAAAAAAAAAAAAAAATTTGAATTTTCAGATAGCGTCTGACCTTGAAAAACTCGAGCAGAAACCCTCACAGGGTTTTTTGTCCCGACACCGCATTTCAAGTGGAAAATAGTAGTGTCCTCCGATCTTGGCGACGACTTCTCGTACGTCCCATCGCATATAGGTGTCCTTTCCTCGTTATACTGGAACGAGTGTGATGGGGATACGGGAGGACGACGCCCAGTTGGATCAGGGCGATCGGTCCACATGGCATAAGCAAAACAGATTGCGCTTGTCTAGTTGGTCCGTTATTCAACTATGGGAACAAACTGACACATTACTAGGCCCTACGTGACCCCCTAGGCCGCGGATCCTGCAGCCTCGGCCGCGGTCGAGGAGGCCGGCCGCGACCCCGTGGCCGAGGCCGCGCGACCGACTTTTTCCGCGGCCTTGCCACGTGCAAGCGAAGCCGCGCGCATCGCCTACGGATGGCGTCTCCCACCATAATCGACTAAAAAAAAAAAAAAAAAAAAGTAAAATTTCGAGGGGGTCGTTTTCAGGTGTTTTTTTTTCTATGTTGTGTGTGTGTGTCTCTCTCTCACACATACACACACACACACAAACACACACACGCGCACACACACGCGCACACACACGCACACACACACACACACACACACACACACACACACACACACACACACACACACATACAGAAATAACAAGGTCATGCAATGTATATTTCCGTGTTCTATCGGTAGATTCATTCCATTTTGGTCATCCTATCGATGAAAGTACCATGAGGCCAGTTCTGTGTGTGTGTGTGTGTGTGTGTGTGTGTGTGTGTGTGTGACCACCACCGCCGAATTGCCCGGAGAAGAAGGAGGAGAAGAAGAAGAAGAAGAAGAAGAAGAAGAAGAAGATGATGATGATGAAAAGGTAAAAAAACAGCAAGGAAGAAGAAGAAAAGAAAAAAAACAGCAAAGAAGAAGAAAGTTCTCCCTGTGAAATGATTTAGGACTCTCACTGCATATCATTCATGAAAAAAATGAGAAAAAAGAAATACTATTTTTTTAAAATTATTTGTTTTCTTTTTTTAACCGATTTTCGTTCTTTATTTTTAAAAATTAGTAAATGAATTCAAATGTTTAAAAAGCATGTATAGGGTTGTAGGGTTTTGCAAACCCTACAACCCCATATTTTTATTCTAGGTAGGATATCCGGATATCCGGATATCCAGCAGGCCAATTTTATCTGGAATTTTCAATCCGGATGAAAATTCCGGATTAATTCTAGATATGGAAAATCCGGCCCTGCGCAAACTATTTATTTTTTTTTTTCCGTTAAAAGTCATTCAAAAAAATATGGAAAAAATCATGTTGCTCATATCAATGATATGAACAACTTTTGGCTTGAGGCCATCTTTGATATCTCAACAGATAAGAAGATAAAAAATAAAACAGAAAAAGAAAATAATATCTAGATAAAAAGTTATAAAACGAATTAAGCATCTCCCCTCTAAACCCCTTCATTCCTTATCTTAACCCTTTTGAACCCTTCCATGACCTATCAAGGTTTTTATGAAATAGGAACGTATTTCTATTGTATTTTGCATGCACAATATCACTTTTTTTCTTACTTTTTTTTTTGATAATTTTTTTAATCATTCGGATTGAAATTTCCGGATAATCATAAGCCCTGCTAATTTAGCCAGATAATCCGAGCAGATTATCCGCCCAGATAAGTCGTGCTACCTAGTTTTTATTTTTATTTTCAAGTATTTGTTAATCCGACAAAAATATCCAAAACAACAGGTCACAAATTGGGCCTCCTGGCCGTGGCCGCTGCCGACTTTTTCGGCCGCAGTGGCCAACTTGCCTGCGGCCGCAGGTGTCATGTAGACGAGGCCTCATACATCATGCAAGTTATTCCAATCAAGAGGACGATCAACATCCATTCATGCGACCCTGGATCATATCAGAATCTTGATTCATTACCATCATTGAAGCGACAACTCAATCGATACACACATCTGAGAGGATACTCATGCATTAACCGCCATAGACTAAGAAGCCAAGATTGGGGCGAGACAAGATAGGAAAACCTTGTTGTCCGTTATCACGAGACCCGATTGAATTGAAGGAGACGAATATGACAAAATCTCGAGAACTTTCCAACATTCATGATTGCATACTTGGAAAGAGAGAGAGGGAAGATAAAGTCGGAGGAGGAGGACTGAGAGTTTGACATAGGTTGATTAAAAAAGGGGACTAAGGACAAAAAGAGAGTTATATCAAAGTAGGGGACTATGGACAAAGAGAAAGTTATAAACACCCAAAAAAAATATCCAAGAACCTGGATAGCACGCCGTACGCGTACGCAGTGCATACACGTACGTATTCTGGCGTACGCGTACGAACCCAAAATCACAAGTACTCGTATGTAAAAAAAAAAAAAAAAAGAATCCAAAACATTCGAGAAAAATGTATGTAGTGCATAATAATAATACAAACAACTTTTGTCTGGGAGTCATACCCGAATTCTCAACCAAGCTCGATTTAAAACTCAAACACCCGAAAGACAACTTCAAAAGAATAAAAAATATATTTTAAAAAAGATTTTGTAATATTATGATAATACTACCTTTTTTCAAGTTTTTGTTGTGTTGCCATTTGTACGCGAACCCATATGAGTACGGATTCGTACTCCTACGCTCGTACGCTACTTCGAGTCCTACGCTAGGGGCCCTATACAACTTTTTTTTTTTTTTTTAATCCGATATTGTTATTATTTTGTTTCTCAAATTCTACTAAGGATCCGAAGATGATGCTCGGCCAAATGTTACTTGCTTTGTGTTGTTGCTTTTGAATATTTTTGTTGATTTAGTTTTTTTAGATTTTTTGATGACTTTGTTTTTTTTTCGTACGATGGCATACAAGAAGTAGAGGTTCCCATACAGGTTCTCATACAGATCCTGTATATATATTACCTGTACGTTTCATACAGAAAGACCAGTACGCATACGTTATGCAATGAAGAGTTTTTGATTTCTCACTCAAGTTTGGTTGGGATTTTGGGGATGACTCCCCGACAAAAGTTGTTTGTATCATGTTTCTGCATAAAATATATTTGTTACAACTTTTTTTTTTTTTTTTTAATGTTTTTTCCTTGTTTTTTTTTTAATTATTTCAATTGATTTGTTTTTCGCTTCGTGGCATAGCAATGAACATCCGACCTTATCATCCGACGTCAAGTTTATCCAGAATTCCGGATAAACCGGAAAAAAGACCTAAAAAATCGAAAAAGAAGGTATTGGGTGTTTGTGCAAAGTACAGACTGCCTAAGGTATGAGCCTTTGAGGATTTTGGCTAAAAAACTATTTTTTGGCCATTCAATGTTTTTTTTTTTTTTTTTTGGGTAATTAATCAATCAATCAATCGGATTGATTGACTGATTGATTGATCATTCGAGCGATCAATGGATTGATTGACTAATTGCAACCAAAAAAGAAATGGCATGGCGTGGCACAATGCTTCTCCCCTCACTAGGCGCCCTTCCCACCTGACCCCCCTTTTGCCTTCTCCTTCACCTCCTCCGTTCTTACTCTTCCTCCTCTCTCTCCTTCTCCTCCTTCCTCTTGTCCTCCTCCTTCTCCTCCTCCTTCTCCTCCTCCTCCTTCTCTTCCTCCTTCTCCTCGTCCTCTTCTTCGTCCTCCTGCCTCTCACCATATTCCTCCTCCTCCTCGGCCTCTAACCTTTCCTCCTTGTCTTCCTCCTCTTCCTCATCCTCCTCCTCGACCCTTTCCTCCTTCTCGCCCTCCTGTAATCATTCGGTTCACCCGATAAAACTGTTGAACAACTCCAACTATCCTGAGAGAAAATTCGCAGGGAACCAGTTACTATATGGTTCGATTAGTCTTTTGCCTGTGTACCTGAGTTTGAAGAACGCTTTGCAAGTTTGTATCGATTCAAGGCTTGAGCCAACCGATTTCTTGTTCTTTTTTTTTTAATCAATCAATCAACAAAAAAAAGGAAGTAGTATCCAATCGAATCAATCGATTCGGTTGGATCTTGATTTCGAAATCAAGATCCAACCGAATCGATTGATTCGATTGGATATTATTTTTTCTTTTCTTTTTATTAATTGATTGATTGATTGATTAAAAAAAACAAAAAAATGGGTCGGGGGCTGGGCAACGGGTGAGTGGGGTCGAGGCAAGACTGCCTATTTCCCACTCCCCTCAATCCCCCCCCCACCGCCCCCATGTTCGTCGCCTCCTCATCCATGTCCACCTCCTCCCTCCTCCTCTCCTCCTCTCCTCCCTCTCCTCCTCGTCCTCCTCCGCCTCTTATTTGTCCTCCTCCCTCACGACATCCTCTCCCTCCTCCTCCTCTTCTCCGCGTGCTTCCCTCTCACCAACATCCTCCTCCTCCTCTACGGCCTCGACCCTTTCCTCCTCGTCTTATTCCTCTTCCTCTTCCTCCTACTCGACTGTTTCCTCCTTCTCTTTCTCCTTTTCCTCCTCCTCTGCCCTTTCGTCCTCCTCGCCCTCCTCTAATCAATGCAGGTTTACCAGATAAAAACTTTTCAACAACTCTATTCACTCGAATCAATCTATTCAATTGGATCTTGACTTCAAAATCAAGATCGAATAGAATCGATTGATTCGATTGGATAAAACTGTTCAACAGCTCCAACTATCCCAAGGGAAACTTTGGAGGGAACCAAATACTAATACGGTTCGCCTGTATACCCAACTTTGACAAACGATTTGCACGTATGTATCGCTTCGAGCCTCCACCCTTTTTCTTTTTTCAAAAATCAATCAATCAAAATAAAAATAAAAATTTAATCGAATCAATCAATTCGATTGGATCTTGATTTTGAAATCAAGATCCAATCGAATATATTGATTTGATTGGATAAAAGTTCATAAAACTGTTCAACAACTCCAACTATCCTGAGGGATTCTTTGAAGGGAACAACCTACCAGATGGTTAGATTTGCCTTTATACCAAAGTGTGACGAACGATTTGCACGTAAGTATTGCTGCGAGCCTCCACGATGAGGAGGAGGAGGAGGAGGAAGAAGACGAAGTAGAAGATGAGGACGAGGAGGAGGAAGAGGAGGACAAAAAGGAAAAAGAAGAGGAGGAGGACGAGGAGGAGGAGGAGAAGGACGAGGAGGAGGAGAAGGACGAGGAGGAGGAGTAGAAGGTGGAAGAGGGGGAGGACGACGACGAGAAGGAGGAGAAGGAGGGGGAGGAGTAAAAGGTGGAGGAGGAGGAGGACGACGATGGCAACGATGTGGACAATGATGAGAGGGAGGAGGAAGAGGAAGAGGACTAGGAGAAGGAAGAGAACAAGGAAAACAAAGAGGAGGAGGAGGAAGAGGAGGAGGAGGTGCAGGGGGTTTAAGCACAGGCCGGTGCTGGAGCCGTTGTTCTGTAACCCAGGGGGAGCTTGAGACCTGTGAAGTTATGCCGAGAGTGGAAGGCATAACCAGATCGTCCGACATAGCTGGCGCTGGGGTATTGACCCTATAACCTGCTTCGGCGCTTGCCGCTACGGAAATTGTCGAGGGAGGAAGGCACTTCCTGTCCGTCAGAACTAGGTTGATCGGTATTGGGGAGGGTTGTGGTGCCCTGTTACCCTAGCAAAAGGGGGTAGGAGATCAAGGGAGTTCTAGTACGAGGTCTGAAATCCTGGACCGACGCTCCATCTGTTGGAAGGGGGAATCTAGGATAGGAGACAGTTTTAGTTTTGCCCCCCTCGTTCATATATTCTAGGAAAAATACTTTTTGAATGTCCTAAAGAGAATTGGGTGCTTAGTGGTCCTAGGATGTTTTTTAGGACTTAGGGATCCCTACCAACTTTTCTTACGTGGCGTCAACGCTGTTATACTCAGAGATCTAAGGTTGTTCGATGCCAGAACGATGATGACCGGAGCTGGGGTGTTGCCCTGTAACCTGCGATGCAGGAGCGTGAGGTCTGGTAGAGAGATCTGGGGAGGTCTTTGGGGGGGTTTCCACGGGACAACCGAGGGTTGCTGCCGGGACAACGCTGGTCGGAGCTGGGGGGAGTTGCGTTGCCCTGTAACCCAGTAGAAAAAGGGGGTGTGAGACCTGGAAGAGAGCGGCAGAGTGTACGACAGTTTTGGAGAACGTTGGAAGGGTTTGTGTGGGTTTTCAAGTTTTTTGGAACCATCGTAGAACCGCTGTGGCCTATTCTCTTCTTTCTGGAACGATGGTAAGAGTTAATAAGGTGCGTGGGAGAAGATGGTGGGTTATCACGCGTCCTACCAGTGAGGGGGCGAGCTGGTAGGATGGGAGTATGGCATAGCAGCAGTTGAGATCCGCTGCAGTCAGTCTTGCTGGAGTGAGGCAAAGTGGATCGATGGGGCTTCTTTCGAGTCGTTCTGAATTTCTGCTTAATCATGAAGCTGTCATAGACATGTCTGAAGTAGTTCCAATTGTTCTGAGTTCAAGCCGGGTAATGGTCCCGGTATCTCAATTTTCCAAATTCCATCTGTAGGCCAATTAAAATTTTAAAAAAGAAGAGAATAAGGAGTGTGGGAGAAGATGGTGGGTTATCACGCGTCCTACCAGTGAGGGGGCTAGCTGGTAGGACGGGAGTATGGTATAGCAGCAGCAGAGATGGTGGCTCCGCTGCAGTTAGTCTTGCCGGAGGGAGGTAAAGTGGATTGATGGGGGTTCTTCTGAGTCGTCTTTGAATCATGAAGTTGTCATAGACATGGCTGAAGTAGCGCTAATTATCTGAGCCAAAGCCGGGTGATGGCCCCGGTATCTCAATTTTCAATTTCCTTTTTAGGCCAATTGGATTTTTCTAGTAGGTTCCTAGCCTCATTCTCATGAAATTTTCTGACGAGTTTTCTGAATGTACTAGTTATGGGATGCTGGGCCCGGTTCCCAGTTCGTGCCAATTTGTGAGGATATGGTTGTATCTATGGGACGCTGAACCCGGTTTCCAGCAGGTGTTGCTCCCCACCAATAGATGGAGCTTTGGTTTAAAAAAAAAAAAAANCAAGCCAGTATTACCAACAATCGTTGACCAAGACTAGGCCATGGCAGGTGCATTGTTGTGCTCCCTCGAAGCGGCCTCCACCTCAGCGCCCACACACTCTTTCACCCCACCGCCTCTGCCACACCCAACAGCAAGTTCTGGCTAAGCATAGCTTCCTTGCAGCTACCCCTGTGCGATCCCCCGCTGCCTGCACACCGTGATGGAGGCGCGCTAACGCAGCGTTACCGCTAGTGAAGTATTCTAAGATGTGTGACACAATTTTATTGTTTTTTGGAAAATACAAAGAGGTTTTTGATTTGCATGAGTGGATCGTTTTCTGATTTAAAATGAATTGAAATAGCCCATAAAACTATGAAGAACAGCTGTGCACCGGAATTCATGGGTGGGTAGGATCCCTTTCACGTAAGTCTTCATAGTGATGTACCGTGGCTATATAATGGGTCCACAAACACAGCCACAAGGCTGTCTCTTATACACATCTAGATGTGTATAAGAGACAGGGAGGAAAAAAAGGACGAGGAGGAGGAGGAGGAGAAGGAGGAGGAGGAGTAGAAGGTGGAAGAGGGGGAGGACGGCGACGAGAAGGAGGAGAAGGAGGGGGAGGAGTAAAAGGTGGAGGAGGAGGAGGACGACGATGGCAACGATGTGGACGATGATGAGAGGGAGGAGGAAGAGGAAGAGGACTAGGAGAAGGAAGAGAACAAGGAAAACAAAGAGGAGGAGGAGGAAGAAGAGGAGGAGGTGGAGGGGGTTTAAAGGGGAGGGCGGGCATTACCTGGAGGAGGAGGATGAGACTCCCGGCAATGGCAAGCAAGGGCGGCCGTGATGGCAAGCAAGGGCGGCGGCAATGGCTCCAGCAGCCAAGCGGCGGGGAGGCGGGCCGTCAGCGCCAAAGCACGGTGGGGCGAGCAGCACGCAGTGCGGCAATGGGGCAGCGGGTTGTTTGTGGGGAGCGATAGGGGGCCAGGCCACTACACCGCGCGCAGTCCGAAACGGGGGCTGTGGATCCTTGTCGATCAATGGACCAGATCGGGCCCTTTTTTTTTCAAAACCGGTAGGACCCAATCGAAATCTGAAAGCAGGAGGGTGTTCGGGCTGCCACCCTCTACCCCGCCAGACCACCGAAAGCAATTTCCGATTATATCCAGGCCCTTTTTCCGGCAGGATATACCGGATATCCCAGGAGCAGCCGGATATCCGGAAATGCTACTTAGTTTTTTTGTGTCTTTGATTTTTAACTCGAGTTTGATAGAGAAGTTTGAGATGATTCTCATGAAAAAGTTGTTCCAAATATCATTTTCCATAACATATTTTATTAAAGTTTGTTTTCAGATTTTTTCGATTTTTTTTTTTACATATTCCCACGTACGGGAGTACGTGTACGCATGTACATGTCACGTTCAGGAATATGTGTACGTGTGAATGCGTAACCCAAGTACACGCACACCGTGCTACCCAGTCAAGAACCAAAGTCGACAATCTGCTGTGAACTTGGATTCCAATTTTAAGAAGAGAAGGAACCGAAGATTGATGGCGTGAAAACCTTTTGCGCTCTGACTATGGCCCCAGGCCATACAACCACACATTCACATTCACCTTTCTTATTCCGATACTGGCCATCCCGGCCGCCACATACCAACCTCCACATTCCGGTACTGGCCATCCTGGCCGCCACATACCAACCTCCACACCACAACAATCCTCACCCCAACGACTTAGCTTCTACACCGACTTGCCCATATCCCGCACGCTTAGCTTCTACACAGGCCCTTCAGAGGCACCACCCTCTCCTGCCAGATGCGCCCCCGGCCCCCGGGAAGAATGTCATCTCTCAAAGTGGAGCGCTCACGACTCCTCACACAAAGAGAGGACACTCAAGGTTGGACTCACTTCCTCACAATAAGAAGAGATTGAGAGGGTAGATAAGGTAAGGGAACACCGTACCTGAAGATAGCTGCCCCCAACCACAGATCTCTGACCAATTGAGCCGACGTGCAGTTCGATGACCGGTCCTAGCTTCGGTACCACCCACATTGGTCCCACAATGCAATGAAGTGCCACCTCAGCCAAAATGCTACATCAACATGCTCTCGTCATCACACATACATCCGTTGTCGCCACAGCCTTCCAGTGGTCGACTCCCTCTACCTGGGTCCCGCTCAACAAGCCAGCGCTGAAGTATCCACATTGCACGGCAGCGCACCAAGTAACAACGTCGCCAGCGCCAGGTAAGTGGAGATGCTGAACCAGCTTCGATACCAAATTGCAAAGAATATGAGTGGGAATGATATACAAAAAGCCAAATTGCGAAATCACACAGATGTCCACGTAGTCGTGTACAAGCAGAGAGCACAAATGCACTGAGAATCCATCCAAACCAAAGCAATACAATGAAGTCATGAGCCAATGTTCAAGCCCTCAGGCCACACCAACACGGTGTCCAATGTCGCTCCTCTCTGTCTGCCGCCCAGCGCCCAGCCTACACTACTTGCCTATCCTACCTACATCAGCATTCGAGCAACAAGCTCACTTCGACTCTGAAGACCAATGTACATGACATCAACACCATAGCCGACCTCCCTCATCCACGAGCTACGTATCTCGTCTCCCCTCATCAGACCCTGACCACCCCCACTCGTCTCCTTCCTGAAGACCACCGATCGCCCTCTTTAACCCCTAGCGCCCTGCAGCCCAGCATGGCTGCTTGCGGTCCGCTGCCCAGCAGCGCCCCTCTCACCTCTCAAGCGCCCGTATGCGCCCTGAACACAAGTGCAGAATGCAGCATCGCGAGCAGCAACGCAGCAGTGTGACCGCATTGCCTGCGTGGGCCAGAAAGCCAGACCCTGGCTGCTTCCTTACCAATATGGAAGTGGCAGCCTCTGTTTGGCTGCATGTGGCCTGGCTGGAAGCTTCCAGTACCATCTGGTCGGGCCCCAGTGTCTGCGCCCGGGCCTAGTACTGCAGTTGAGGGCCTGGGCCCTTTACAGTTGGGCACGGCCTGAGTTTCGAGACTTGGGCCGTTAACTGCATTTGCACAAGACCCAGGGTATGTACGTCGACAATGCTGCTTTTGCGTAAGCCCGTAGCCACTTCGTGATGTATCGGCCCTGCATTGTGTGTATGTGCCCAGGCGCAACCACCAAGGCCTGGGACAAATTGTACGACG